CATTGAAGTCATCAAAGTCAACATCACTCTCCGCATCTACTCTGCCAAATGGCACGTCTACGCCGGCCTCGCTCTCCTGAACCCTTCTGCTAAAACACAAATCCACCGATACGCCCAATCAGCAACCGAGCTGTTCAAGCTCATGGTAGAAGGACGGGGAGAGGAGCTGGAAGACAGGGTGTGGAAAGCGAGAGAAGAGGTGTTTGGGTGGAAGCGCGGGGAAGAGGCTGGGGAGGGGGATAAGGCGAGGGCACCGATATTGTTGGGGGAGGATGTGTTGGATCAATTCTCTCTGGGAAAGGCGCCGGAGCAAGGGAGGGAGAGGGCGAGTCAAAACAGTCATCTGAGTTTGTTGGCGATGGTGGATTGTTGGGCAAAACTGGGGATCAGGCCGTACGAGCATTTGGATGTGGCTGGCACGCCAGTGTTCATGCTTTGGATAGGTGAGTTCTTCGTTTGAGGACGTTAAAAACATGTTGACACTCTGTCAGGTGTTGCCGAATACCTCTTCCGTTCCCCGACTCTCCTCTCCTCCGCCCTCGCCGCTGCCCTCTCCGACCGTATACACCGTCCTGACGATGTCGAATTCGTCGTCGCTGCTCGAGGCTGGTCAGAGTGCGTCGACGTGGGCAACTTTGAGTGGTACAAGAGGAGGTTTGAAGAGACGTCAGAGTTCTTTGCGCCGAGGTTCGAGGAGGCGACAAAGCTGGGTGGAAAGATGATCAAGGCGGTGCAGGAAGGGAGGAGAGACAGGATTTAGGAGAGATGATGATGTTGATGACGATATTTGACTCGACTGGCTCTGAATTTGACGTATGACATTAATCATGCATTCGGAGTTCTCCTTCATCTACCTCGCCTATTCCCCAAGCCCCCCATCCCGAACATCTTCATCATCGACTCGAGTTTCTCCTTCTGCTTTCTGCTTTCGTTGCTCTTTCTCGTATTCAGCATCCGTATAGTCGTAGTTGTTGCCGTAATAATGAGCATCATCGTGCCCATATTGATCTTCAAGATCATGATCATAAGCAATCAGATAAGCACCAAGATCACAATCGTCCTCGTCTTCATCTTCTGCTTCATGACGGCCCTGCGCGGCAAGATCTTTCGACGTTTGGTGGCGAGTGCTGGAGGACGCGGACGAGGAAGTGAGGGTGATATCGGCGGCTGCTTTCTGCACATGATGTCGGTCTGTTTTCTGGAGCAGAGAAAGGAAAGAGAAGGCGTGATGGGGGGGGGGGGTGGGGAGGGAGGATTTAGTGACTTACAGCAGCTTTGGCTTTGGCTTTCTCTCTGGCACGCTTCTTTTGACCTTTGAGAGCTTGCCGCCGGTAGCGTCGGCAGTGGTGAGGGACTCGGCTGTGGGAGCGATAGGGGCATATGTCGTGCCATTGGCGAAAGCGTGCTTTGCGGCCGACTAAACCGATAGTCAGCCATGCCCCCCCAGTTTAAGTAAATGAACGACGCGAAAGAACGTACGGGTACAGAGAACTCGCCTGGCCCTGTCGATCTCCTCTCGTCCCAATGTTCCAAAATCGGATCTTTCCTAGGATCTTTCGCCATCATCCCCGTTCTTTTCGCATCATAATCAAAAGCCCCTTTCGCGATAGTCCATGCACTTTTGGAGCGCACAGCCCACCGTTTCGTGTTGATGAGATCCGCATGGGTCGAGCAGTTTGAGTAACCGTCGTAATATCGCTCCCCCAAGTGGTGCCACAACGACTCCTTTTCGAGATAGAACAGCATCTCTTTGATCATCAGCACGGCCAATTGAGGGTGATTGACGACGGCGGCGAGATATTCTTTGAGAAGTTTGTGGTAAAGCCGGCGGTTGTTGTCGCTGACTTTCCTCTCTTGCAAAGAGAGAGAACAGAGGGGACAGGAGCAGATAAAGTCGAATCGATATGAGAGCCATGATTGGCGAGCGGAGAATAGCAGTGGTTTGTCCAAAGGTTGCAGGATGTAGATGTAGGGGATGATGAGCTCGGTACCCGAGGGTATGTCGGTGAGTGCGTGGACCACTAGAAGTCTCATTAGCTTCTTTGCAATGAAGCGTCATGGCATGAACTTATATGGAAATAGTCCGTGAGCGGCGAGCTCCGAGGTACCAGAGCTTGTTTGCTAGACAACGTATGTACTTCAAAATATGAGAACGATCTGAGAATTTTGAATACGATTATAAGGGAGATGTACGATACGGAGAATTGGGCTGCAGAGATTGATCCCGAAATGCGAGAGCTCGTTTCTTTGTGGAGTGTATCTTTGGAAGGCTTGCTGGAGACGGGCATGCCAGATCTTCCTCCTCCCTTAGAGTAAAGTATAGATGAATAGAGTCGAGGAAGCATCATGCCATGCAACATTAAGTCGAGGGCACAAAGAGATTGTATGTCGACATTCAGTCTGCCAGAGTTCATAAGGCTACACGATTCCTATCTAGATCTATGATGGAAAGGAAGAAATAGAATACCCAGAACACCACCAAGAGCCACAAGTCGGTCTGTACTTCTCCTTCGCTGGCTCGCTCGACCCCCATTCCACTCCCTTCCCATCGACTCGCTCGTCACATCAACATACAGCATCCCCCATCCGCGGGCCCATGCTCCACCCTATAGCTAATCGTATACTCATACCCCTTATTCCCCAACAACCTCCCCCCCGACCCTTGTGTCCCTCCCGAGGCTGCTGACCCGCCTGATGACCCTGATGCGGTTTGCAAGGCCGAGTGGATGAGCTCGTAGTATGAGTCGGAGAGGCCGGGGGGGATGCGGTAGCAGCAAGAGGTGGTGCAGGGGGAGAATGATTTGCAGGGGCAGGCGGGGGCGCAGGTGCAGGATGGATCGGTGTAGCCGCTAGAGGGAAGTCAGTTGGGTGTAAAGAAGGAGGAGGGGAGGCTTACCATATGAAATTGACAGGGGAGTAGGCGTGGGATATCATCCCTCAGGCGCCTCAGAGAAGGCGGGGGCAGGGATAGGTGTGGGACAGGGTGAAGGTTGAAGGCGGGATATGCAGTCGACGGAAGATTATACAACGCAGGGAATTGAAGTGGCGGAGAGTGCAAAAGAGACTTGTTGTGTTTTGTATAAAATGGATTCGCAGCGACCCCCACCTGGCTCCGGCTGCAGTTTGATGGCATCACGCATCACCGCCCGAGCACCCATTTCCAGCTCGGCGCCACTTCGGCAATCGCCACGTGCACACAGCGTAGACAGGCAGAGGCAGCAACGGTGGAGACCCCCGCCCCCCCTTTCCCCTACCAGTTGTGGCAATTCCAGGCTCTGGTGGGTGTGATCAGAGCAATCGAGCACAGAGCATGGCCTATATATGCCGACAGATTTCCCGACCGCGCATGGAACAAGTGTGGAAAGGACGTGGCTCGGAGGGCCGAAGGGGATCGGGACGGAAGGAGGGTGCCGCGCTGGTTTGCTTCTCGAATTGAGGGCGCAAGGGCCTGCTTCGATTGGTTCAATCGTCGGAGCTGCCGCAAAGGATGTCCTGGGCTCGGATTGCTGTATTTCTGCCTCATCCGTTTCCAACCATCCCTCCTCGGACGTTTCTTCCCAAGTCCCGACGAGGGGCGCACTAAGGGCCCTGTACCCGGTCATCTGAATACGGTAAAAAGAACAAGATCATGGAAAGAACCGGGTGTGGTTGATTTAGCGGGGGGGTTGCTGTTGTTTCGACCGGGTGCGGTTGATTTGACTGCGTGATACAGCTCTCTCTCACGGTCGATTTGAGCGCACCCGGTCATTTTGATGGCATTGCCACGCGGTCAATTTCAATGCACCTAGTCATTCCAATGACAGCCAGGGCAGACAGGCTTGCGCGTTTATCTTGTCCACCACCACGCACACTCATTTCTTGTCTTGAATGCAATGCATATTAGATCAACTTCTACCCGTTCTCCTTCCCTTGCAGCCCTATATAATGCCTTAGAGCGGACACAGTCGCACCTTCTCCCCCTCCCAGACGAAGCGCACCGAGTTGCCGATAACGAAGCCTTTTTTTCAAGCAGCGGCGGAAGAAGAGGAGGTAGGTGGATGTAGAAGCGAGGGAAGAAAAGGAAACGGCGGGAGAGGAAGAGGAGCCACGGCTGGTAGGTAGGGGTCAAAATCTGTTGGGCTGTGTCAGAAGAGACAATGATAGCTCATGGATCATGAGGGCTGAAGAGTACTCACTTGCTATCTCCCTTTGACTGGAGGATGCTGCCGGCGCAGCAGTGGCTATATACCCATCAGCAAGTAGCCACTACACATAGAGAAAAATGAAGGTATGAGAGAACCCACAAGCCGCACCTGTGAAAAGGGGGAATCGCCCGTTGCGCTTGTCTGTCAGCAAAGATGACAAGACGTACCAGTCATTTCAGCCGCCTCCAAGAAAGTTATTGTTGCCTATAATAGGATAACCTAATTTCCGTCGAGAGGATCTACGGAAAGAAGCTGAGCGGATTGGAGATGAATAACAAAAGAAGACTTCTTGACGATGATGCAGTGGCAATATATGGGGCGGCGTTGCCAACGGACACACACCATCAACTCCGTAACACCGCTACGTGTGGCTCCGGAGCGATGTTTCAACCGAAACGGCCATTTGACTCCGCTTACGCCACTAAGTTCCCCCGCGGTTGGTTTTACCCCCCCAACATGCTACTTGTAACGGGCCATAGTACCAAAGCTAAGTTCAGAGGAGATCACTGTCACTTCTGCAATGGCTGCTGCTCCAGTAGTAGGTTGTCTTAGCATATACTACTACTTGTATACTGAATACCCATTACTGCGCAGCCAAATCCTATTCCTCTCTAGTGACCCTCTCTGTAGGCTAGTTGCACTGTACTCGTTGTTCACATTGTCTTAGAACAGCTGATGTAGGTGGGCCCAAATGCCCTGCAGATGTCTCAGGATCCTGCTGGTGGTAGGTGTGTAGTCAAGATCTCACTGGCATCTCAATAACGTCATCATTGTTGACACACCACTGAGTAGTGATGTTAGCTGCGATCTTGTAATGCCCCCGTGGCGCAATCGGTAGCGCATACGACTTTTAAAAGTCTGTTTCCGGTTATTGGTCATCAGTTCATCGTACGGTTGCGGGTTCGAGCCCCGCCGAGGGCTTACTTTTTCGTCTTTGTTTTTGCTCCTTCCTCTATCCTCTTGGATATCTTGCAGTGCCGTATTAAACTGATTCAGCTGATTTAACTGATGTAGGGCTACATGCTACAGTCCTAGCTGATTATTAGAGGAAGATTTGATAATCGAAGGGGCACTTTGCGGAAAGTACGTGCAATTGGCACACTGACATTAATGTTTGCTGAGTCGAGCATCACTGTTACCACTGCATATTCAATTTTCTTTTCTCCTGCCTTTCTCCCGGTGACGATACAGGGATACCCCTTGGCTCCCTTTCGTGAATGGTGTATATGCTATGTATATGCGATGCACTCTCCTCATCGAATTTTATTCGTTACTATACGCTAGCTAACAGAACCGTCTCCTCAGAGATATTACAACACTCTACAAGCTCTATCCTAGACGGATCACTCGACATGGAGAGTACGCTACTGGTACCGATGAATGTGGTCCCTTTAAAAAGGCGTCAGCTAACAGCTCGTCATCGAAAAGCCCAAGTTCGCGAGGGACGGGCTTCGAGAGGGGGGCGTACCAGATTCTTCGCCTACTCTATTACAAACAACAAATACGACCTCCTTCCCTTCCTTTCCTTCTCCATCTTCTCCGTTTGTAGATTCTGTAGGGGGAGCGTAGCCAGGAGTGGGATCATGCAAAGGTGTCAATCTCGCCGCCCAATAGTTGAGGTTTGAGATGGACGGTCGTAAGGGGTCCTGTGGGGGATCTTCATTGGGTGGTTCAGCGGGGGGATCGAGCCAATTCATACTACGCCCTTGTATTAGCTGCTGTGGCGAAGGAATACAAAAAAAGTAGAGGGACTTACGGAACGACGAGGGTATCGACTGCGTTGTCTCGAACGAAGTTGGCCAGTTCAAAGGCGTCCCAAGGAGCTACACTACCATCAGCTTGATATCCTCGTTGGGGCAAAGACCAGACGTACCGACAAAATCCTTCGGGTTCATATCTATATGAGCCCATCGTGTGAGCTCAAGCATGCAAATACTCAATTCGCCCAGAGGGCGAAAAAGTAAATGAAAGGCACTCACCCATACAAATGCCCACGGCCACCCTTCCGAGAGCTCCCCCTAAATCGAAGTACTTGAATCCATCACCGGCTATCGCCCAGTTCTTATCGGTTTCGAACAGGAACGTCTTGCGGTAGTTGCCAACTATCTCACCGGAGGGGGATGATATGAGGGCAGAGTTGTATCCTACGCCGGGGTCTTTCGACGATGGTGATTCAACAACCGCCTCTTCCGTAACGGACCTCTCTTTCGGCGCATCTTCCAGCTTTTCTGGATACCCAGCGATAACGTGGCACCCTAGCCGTTTGCTCAAGGACCTCGCGAGGAGAGAAGTCGGTCCGATCCTCGGCGGTTCGAGGTAAGGCAGGATAGAGGAGGGGGTGGGGAAGATGTAGCCTGATAGGCTCATTTCGGGGAGCACAAGAAGGTCGATTGAGCCGGGAGTAAGCCTGTCTGGGCATCAGCGGGATGGAGGGCGATGGAGAGCGACGAAAGGGGACAGACCATCTTGTCATCTCTTCGACTTTGGCAGCATTTTCGTTGACTTTGCCTAGCTTCTCCGCATCAGCTCCAGATAGATATACCACCAATGACGCGAAATGGTACGCACTTTGATGTCAAATTGGACACAAGCAGTCCTCAGAGGTATTCTTCTGTAGACAGGTGCTGGCGAGCGCGGCCTCGAGGCTGCAGGCGGAAGTGGAGGGGTGCTCATTTTGCGACAGAAACCGAATGTCTTCTTGAGGAACGAGATATTGCAGTGTTGTAAGTCGTGGTAGAGGAAGAAGATGAGGAACAGAGTATATATATGGACGTAAGGCGCAAGCTGCATTTGTCAGAGGAGCTGAGATGGTCGGCAATGCAACCGATTCCACGTCACCGGTTCGGCCATACGTTCACTTTGTTCCTGGCTGCGCGTCTGCTTCGTTCACGTGAGTGATTTCTCTTTCCTCTTGCTTTTCCTTGACGTTTGTTTCTTATATAACGCCATCACACTCCGCCATGCCCTCTTCTGACGGACTCCGTGAGTCATTTTCATCCCCATCTTCTCCCACAGTCGGTCACAACCACTGACAGCTGGCATACGCAGAACCCCCACTCACACCAGGCGAGAGAGCTGTCGTCAACGAGTATGGCGGTTGGACAAGCTTTACGCAAAGCTACGGCATGAAGCCTTGGGACTCTGGTACTTCACAGGAAGGATAGGCCATTGCTAGGGGATTGGCGGAGTCTAGTGCGCAGAACCAAGGAGGGGCTGCTGGTGGGAAGAAGTGAAGTGAGTGACTGTTTGGTGCCCAATGAAATGGGAAGAAGGATGGGATCTGATAGTATGAGTAGATGCACCAAGTAGTATACCTTCAACTCTGTAACACATCGAATAGTGTTCTTCAGACGCACCAGACTGGTTTGATAGCAGCCGGGTAACGTTCTCCTCTTGAGTGGAATCGTCGTATGTATAGCTTGAGACGTTGCTTCTTTACTACTGCCTCTCCGTCCACCCGTGATCACGGTAGAACGATAGAGTGTCTTTTGGAAACATCAGGAAAAAGAAATGTTCTCACTCAACGTCATAAAAATGTGCAAAGACGCCAACGGACGTGACTTTGTCGCTGGTACGCCAAGGGGACCATTGGAGAGTAATCATGGATCAACCTGTGGCTCTTGATGGCTTTACGGGTACTCCTCTCCTTCTATCCATGATATAGATACGAATCGGGTGGCGTTTTGATCAAATTGAATGTCGACATACACTCTGAAAATGGCTTTGAGCGCAATTTGATTGTCATCCAACCGAGTCTACATGATATGATGATCTAATTTTACATTGAAGCAGCTCGATCGCAGCTTACTCCATTGGTGGGGAGGCTCTGGCATACCCGTCTTTCGTAGCCCGTCCAAAGAATGGCTCCACAAAGAAACGAGCTCTCGCACCGCTGGATCATGGATTTCCCCCTTCTCCGCATCATACTTCTCACTTATAGTCGTATTCAGCATGCTCAGATCGTTCTCATAAAGGTCGTCACCAAGCTTCGGAGCGCCTTGGCCGATTGCCGAATGGACCACCTGCGCCCGGTCGTTTAGAAGGTGATGCTGAAATCCGAGGGATTCTTGTGGTATTCGCTGAGGACGTGCCTGTTGTTTGCGTTTGCCTGGTCAAGCTACATTGGTGCTCTATCATCAAGCATCAGTCTCATCATGTGATCCGCTCGCCAATGTAACAATGTAAGCCAAGCCAGAAAGGGACTAGGCACGCTCCTCGAAGGTCTCGTACGCAAATACGACCATTGCCGATCTACCGCAACCTGCTGTGCATGTAGCGTGTAGTAATGGACGGGGAAGAGATAGATACCTCTTGCTCTTTCACTGCACCTCGAACATTGTTGGCTTGCTCCCCGAGCTCGTCATCGAGATTTGGCAGCTCTTCATCTGACGTTGACGCTGGCGTCGGGTTGTCGTAGGTTATGTCGTTCAGTTGGGTGCCGGTATGGTCAGATCAGACATTCTTCAGATTGAAGTGTAGGAAGAAGACGGACTGACGTGCTGCAAAAGAAAACTGGCTTGTGGTTTGACTTCTCAATGCCAAACTATGATCACTCAGCCCAATCTTGATTGAGGTCCCATGATCACAAGAGCGGTTGGGTCTTATGACTGGTGGGAGTATTATCATACCTTCTCTTGATACCAGTGCATTGTGTAAGGGAATCAGTTTCTTTCAATTGCAATAGAGCTCAGAGGCTATGTATCTAGAATGATATTCTACTCCTGCAAAGGAAGAGGAAGCCCCGTCATACCGGCATCTCTCAATTTCCCTAGAGATTCACTCCACACGGAAACGAGCTCTTTCTTTCTGGACCCAGCTCTGACCATCTTTCGGTATCGTATTTCTCCCTGATAACCGCGTTGAGTGTTGGAATATGGAGTTCAGTACGCATTGGAAGAGTTGAATGATTCTAGGTTACGTAATGGTAGCGGGAGCAAATCCCTTGGAGTGTCGACGTGGCGTAGAATAGAGCCTGTTGTGCAATCTTCTTCTTCTTCATCTTACCAGGTGATAGGAGCTGAAGGTCTGTATAACAGCTTTCAACATTGAGAATCCCCAGATCGTGCTCATAAAGGTAATTACCCTGTACCCCGCAACTTTTTCCAAGGTCCTGACGGGTCCCGTCGTTAAGGGTGCGATGGAGAGGAGTATGACACGCAACGCCTCGGGTGATCATCCGCTGGCCTCTCAAAGGAAAGCTTCTCCTTGTTGAGATCCTGTACGCTTTTTTCATATTCAGCAGCACTGGCTCTCAGCTAGCGCCCATAATTTTCTGAAACATTCATTTCTAGATCTGCTCGTCTGAGCATTGAAGGAATGGTCGTTGCCCAGTCATTCAGATAGAAGTATTTGACAGCACTATCATCGCTGAGATGGAGATCTGTGGGGCTTCCAAAGTAGTCACTCAGGACCTGCCGGTTGTTGATGGCTGCCTGCCGCAATCAAGTCGGGCCCCTTCAGATCAATGTCAACATATTAACAGGTCTTGTAGACAGCGGGAGAGGCAGGAAATGTGACAAGCTCAGACCTACCTTGAGGGACTCGTACGCAGGTATGATGTCAGTCGACTTTCTACCGACGTCCTCATTTGCCGTACAGGCGGAATCTCAAGGGCGTTGTTGGGTATAGGAATCTGCGCCAACCATTGATTTAATGCAGTGAGGCCCGCATCATTATCAACCAGTTCCACGGTCTCGTACTATGGTGGCTGGACCAATTTCAACCACTCTATGGGCCTCAAACGTTATGACTCGGGCGATGCGCAGGAGGCGGTGGCTATTGCTAGGGCTTTTGCGCCGGATTCCCAGGCAATTCAGAACCAGTCGGGCGCTTCTTCATGGTGGAAAGAAATGAGGTACGTTCCAATCTGTAGGAGTAAGAGCATAGATCTGATTCGATACGTGCTATAGATGCTAACACGT